ATATATATATATATATATCTTATTTAAAATTTATATGAGAGATATTTATGTAACATATTTTTACACGGCGCCGTTTTATATGATTTAAAGTTAAATTAATATACTTGTAAATTCTTAATGTAAAACATGATTGTCTAATGTTAACAGCTGTACTTACCAAACAATGCATACTTTATATTTTATGAAATTAATTGTGTTCGGATATCCAATTTCTTAGAATTGGAATCGCCTGAAGACGATATCGTCAATAAACACATATTTATAACATGTTATATGTTTTCAGATTAGTGCAGCAGCAGGTTGAATACAAGAAAGCGCTCACAAAGTAGAGGTACATTTTATAATTTTTGATAAAAAATCCTCACACAGTTCACACTCAGTTAACTTAAAATATATCAATCAGAGTCTAAAAAGTATATTGACAGTCCAATTGACATATTCAAAATAGTTTGTGGTTAAATTTTTTATTTATACACACTTTTGGAATTTTTAAGTTTGCTTTGATTTTCACTGTGTATTGTCGGTACTTTTTTTTTTAATAAGATTGTATGTTGTGTTGATGTCGAATGTTTTATACAATTGAAAATTTTTTCGTAATAACAAAAAAATACTTATCACATCTAAAAAATTCTATATATTGATAGTGATGAATATCTTTTGTTTATTATAATATAATTTTTTTGCAATTACAGTTTGGTACATCGAGACAACGCACAGGCTTGATGTCATTAGCGATGATAGCTTGATGATAGCGAAATAATAACCTCATACTTCCAAGGTTTGTATAATTTTTAATTTCTTTTTCGACAAATTTACAATTAAGATATAATCCTTATTAATTTACAATTAATAAGGATTATATCTTTATTGTTTATTCTTGTTCATTTTCTTGTGATGAAAGATTTTATAAATGATTCTAATGATTTTTATTATCCTAACGTGTACTGAATAACTAATCAAGATTTGATTTACGATTGATTATACATAGTATTATACATATATTGCTAATTTTGCCATTTTTATTTCTGTTATAGGAAAGTCCAGAATGAAGAATTAACGCAAATTGGTCTGATACATAGGATACATCAGTTATTTTAAAGGTGAGAATATTAGGTTTTTTAAAAAATTAAATATTTAATTAATTTGTTTAATTAAATAATGCATATTATGTAGATTATAAAGAATAATGTTTTACGTTATATATATATTTTATAAAATATTATCAAGATTGCAATGATGACATCCTTTCGGGTCTGATAAAACTTGATGTTAAAGATCCAATTCCAACGTGTTATTTTTGACTGAAGCAAATCTTGAACTATATTTTGCTAAGTTAGTTAATTGTCTATACTTGTTTTTCATTCATAAAAATGTTTTGTATAGAGGATTACAAGGTGTATTCTCTGTCAAGAATACTTTCCAGCAACAAGTAATTGAAGGCTACTTTAGCTTTACTTAATAGAAAGGTAAATTGCTTGTTTTTTATTAATTAATCTATATTAAACTTTTCATCCTTGTAGAAAATCAAATATCGAACAATAAAAAGTTGAGTTTGATTGCTTTTAAGTTAATAATTATAAATTAATATAATCAACTAAATTAAATTAATTTCTTTAAATAAAGAATTTTACTGGCATTATACTCGCAGGAGTAAATAAGTATAGGTTACACAAATAAAGCTTTTATAGAATTTTGCACTGAAAATAAACTGATGAACAACTGGCTAGAGTCCTGAATAAAAGATGAAAAAGCACTCGTTCATATGCTGATTTGTATGATATCTTAATTTTTATCATAAATTACTCATTTACGAAAATAATCAATTTCTATTTGTTACAGCATTCTGTACGCGATATAATCCAGCGGTTGGAACTATTAAAATATATATTGTTTTTTAAATATTTGAATAAATATATTTTTTTTATTAAAAATAATGTGTTAATCGATTTATTTTATCTTGTATGTTTTCTGATTTACGTTATAATGTATTATTATTTAGGGAATATGAATTGGATTAGTATGTAAGGATATTCAAGATAAATAGGTACATTTTAGAACATTCAGAAAAATATAATGATATATGTATAATGTATATATATATATATATATCTCGTGAAAAAAGCTTTGACAAAACATTTTATTGTTAATCGCAGAAAAAGCCATATACACTTTCACACAAAATCGATCATAGTTTGATAATATTGAAAAGTTTACAATAATTAAAATGTACATAAATATAAAGACGACGATGATGTTGCACGTTCCTCTCGTGTGTGCCAGAACTGTAGAAAAATCATCTCAAATATCTTTCGTAACACTCGTTGAACAACTTATTATTCAGTGTGATGATACGGTCGTATGTATATATATATCCTTCCTTCATTTAATAAGATGACAATGCTAATTGCGTTCTGAGGTGCGCTTTTATAAATTCACAGAGCTTTGACTTCACATGAGATGCGATATATTTAAAATCGAATATACACGGCCGGAGCGGGTGGAAGGAACGATTTTTGGTGTTTTGCGCTTCTATAAATCTATCTAATCCTATATACTTTTAGCCGCGACGGTCAAGTGCCATATAATTATATATATATATTTTTTTATTGGTACTATTCCCGAACGCAGCACGCACCTTTGTTTTTTTTTTTATATCGCAAGTTAGTACAGATTAAAGGTAGCGATTTAAACGTTCACACGTTGCATGCTCTATCATTATAAGTCTCTCTATTTTTTGTAATTTATATAATATATATACCTCTTTTTTTTCTTCTAAAATTCCTTTACGGTGACCTTAAATTTTTTTTATGCGATATTTTATTCCTCTTACTATCGTATTGCTCAACCAATGCCACGAGAATGCCTGCGCTCAACTTGTACCAATAAAATTCGATCGCCCCTTCGGTTATCTCTTTCCCCCCATCGTTCAACATTATCGATATTATATCAATTATACTTTTATCTGTTAATACTTATTAAATATTCTTTTAATTATTGTAGATCACAGACAACTTGTTCTTAATTCATAAAAACAATTCAATTATTTCTTTTCCCCATAGATTAACCGATGTGTGTAGAATATGCCTTTCACAGTGGTGTGTCGTGTATGTGTGTAGGTATTGCTTGGTGTATGTATGTGTGTGTATGATCGCAGAAATAGCACGAATTCCGAAAATGTAAACCGATGAATCGAGCGATAATTACGTATGGTCTTGTTTCGCGTTTCGCCCAGTTTATTGCCGCACGGAACACCGATATTTTCAAGGATGGAGGCTCCGGCTTGTAAAATAACCAATTTATATATTAATAAATAATTTTCAGTAAAGTACTCAAAGTTTCGATACAAACGCTATAACTACATGCTCACGGGCATTTCTCGAAGCATTACTTGGGTACTCCTAGAATCGGAGTTTCCATGCGGCAATCGTTTGGTCGATATCCCAGGCGATGTTAACGCTAAAATCATAACGTAGCGTATAAGCTAATTATGTTCACGGCCGACATTGAGACGGTAATAAGACAAGCCGATCTTTTTAAGCCTGAGAAGTTAGCACGAAGCTCATATTACGACTGATTATATGACCGAGATTACGATTTTATTTTAAACCATTGCGCTCAAAGTACGTTTCACCCTTTGAGAGATGAGCGAAAACTTGTGTAGAGAGCAGCTCGCATGCTTGTCAAATACAAAATATACCAATGGTACACCGAAAAAAAAAAAAAAAATCAATTTAGTGAGAATAGGTCTGCTCTTTTTAATTATACTCTCAACACTTGTTTTTTCTTCTTGCTCTCTTCCTGAAGGAAGAACCGCGCAAATAATTCGCCTCGTTTGAATGCAGAAAGCGCACCTAAAAACAACAGGCCGTATCTCGGTTTCTTCGCCTTGTACACTCGTATATATCGATTTAAATTGCGCATATGCAGTAATCGGTAAGACTCGCGAAGGTACCCTACGTTTCTTCGTGCGTGTCGGTCAGGTACCTGAAAAACATTAGAATTTGTGCGTGTGGAGATCGTAGTAACATGGACGAGGCCGCAACGGGGTGCGGGGGTGGACACTTGCGAATCGCGCGTTTTTTTTTTTACTTTTGCAAAAGCGTGTCGCCAGTTAAAGTGGAACGGACGTGGTGTCGTCGGTGTGTTTTCTGATTAAAAGTGTCTAACGATGCACGCGAGTGGACGCATCATGATCACACAGCAAGCGAATTACCTGATAATACTCGTAACGTTTAACGGTATTTAGCTCATTTAGTTTTACTGAGTAAGTTTCTTTCAAGTCCATAGCTAAACTTGTGACTTCCTCTCTTTATAATATACAGATTGGCGCGCGATGCCGCGAGTAGAACCTCGCCGCGCGCGTTTTTCCCTTCTCTGCGTTCTGCGGATGGATGTCCGTTCGGTGTCGTTGAGTGAACCAGAGGGAGCGTGTAACTCGGGGATGCGCTTCGTTGCAAGTTTTGCATCAGTCGTTTTGAGAGTGGCGCGAGTCCGGTAACTTTCGGGGATTCGATTCAAGGGGTGTGGACTACGCGATTAGCGGCAGAAAACATTTATCGCTTATGTAAAAACAAGCTTCCCTAAAGTCTGCAGCTTGATCCCGCATTGGATAGAGACATTCCAGAAATTTACAACTTGCACAGGCAGATTTATAATCCGCCGTTAAAAATTTGTCGTTTATATTACATATAAATTGTCAACTTACAGTCATACGTTTATTATAATTCAAGAATAGCGCAGACTTAAAAATTCTTCAAGACTCGCGCCACTTTCGAAGCAACCGGATTTATCATCCTCTCTACGCAGAACGACCATCTCGCCTACCGTCGCGGACAACATCGTGGAAAGTCGTTTAAAAATATACGGCGTAGCCCGAGCGCTACGTATACGACAGTAAGGACAGATTCTTCGTGTTTACGGAATGCGATATACAGGCACGGGATTCGCAAATTGATTTCGGATCGCGAATCGTACTTAGACAAGCTACGAAGAAGGCATCGTGCGAGGTAAATCAATCTGACGCGCGGTACAACGGCTGCCGCGCGCCAACGTTAAACATTGCAAGAAACGAAGAACTTTTCTGGCGCATACGAGCATCGCACTGAAGGATACCGCGCGTACGAGAGAGGGACTTGCCTGCCTCTCTTGACACGAGCTCTGCGACAGGAGTTATCAATACGCACGACTTCGCAATTATTGAGCTATTATCGAGTAGGAAAAAGTACGTCGCGAAATATCGTCGTGACAGTCCTGCAAATATAAGTCGGCGCTTTGTAACGGGGGACAGATTTACGATAGAGAAATGGCAGAGTTGTCAAAGGTTCCCTTGAATCGTCGTGTATTCGCGTACGATTCGGGTCGAGTGTCTCGAGAGAAAAAAAGAGAGAAAGAGAGAGTACCGAGTATTGCCTCTGGTTCACTCCGTGAATCGCGAGGGTGGATTTTTAGTCGATCCTGAGACAGAAAGATAACTTGGCTGCTTCCTCGTTCAAGAAAGCTTCTTCGGCCATTGTAACGCCTCGCTTCTTTACGGACGGCGATGGGATGATCGCCTAATGTGGTCTCCACGAGATATTATTCAGACCTTGGAAATGTCGCTTCAAACTGCTGCCGTCGGCCCAGGGGGAGTTGAGATACTCGTCGTCATCGTCTTGCTCAAGTTTCTGTAAGGTAAAAAACAAAAACATGAAACTCAATATTTTTTTAATGGAATATCATCTCAGGTTTACATTTTTTTCTGTCGGTACGCCGCTTTGAAGTCGTAGAGCGACTCATTTGCAAGTTAAATTATTCGCTACGGTAAAGCTTATGCGTAACAATGAATGTAATCACCTTCAAGCTTTTGAGAAAACCAATTGTTTCCTGATTCATACTTAAAAAATGATATTTTTAATTGCATTTGTATAATTGCAGCACTATTCTTTTGAAATCAGGAACATCTTATCTTCACATTGTCTTTGATTCAGTTTACCCTCAGTTTTGCATATTAGTTCAATTCGTGAATTCGAAGCGTCTCGTTGATCCCAAACTTGCTCGTCTGTGTATAGAACGCGAACGACCCTAATACCTCGGTTTCTGCAAGCTCGCGCGGCATTCGCGAATAGACGACCGCGAGAATTCGGCAAGGTAGGTAGCTGCGAGCTCGAGGGCTGTCGCTGGAAGCCATGGGGAGGATTGAGAAAGTAAGGGAGAGTTAGGCGGGGCTTGTTGGGATGGTTGTTGGGTCAGAATCGATGCTCGCGTCCTTGCCTGGTCTCTCTCACGCATTTCGTATAAACGTCAAAACCGCAAGTCTACCCCCCCCCCCCCGTTTGCGTGGAGTAGCTAACTCGCGCGATTGATTACGAGCACACGTGCGAACTCGTGCCGCACGGAAACGTGCATGCATCGAGCTCGAGCATATATACTCGGGCAAAAATAGGTGAATTAAACAAAGTAATGTTGGGAATTCGCTGTGTAACACATATCGGATCTAAGCGTTGAAATCTCACAATAGAGTTTAGTTATTAAATTTAAATTCTAGTTTTAAATTCCCCCATTTTATTCACAATTTTAATATCTTCTGTCGTACAGAATCAAATAAACTTATTTTTTAATAGTGTTGAAATACATGCTAGCACAAAAATTTTTATGATTACTGCAGAATTTCCAGAAAAGAAATGAAAAAAATTATTTACTTAATCTCGATTATGAATAATACAAAGATTTTGATACCGAGGATAGAAAAGATTGTAGTAGAAAAATTTAATATATTTTCACGGAAGAGAAAGTTTTTATTGAATATAAATTTTTCAGAAAGTAGAAGCCTCAAAAAAGTTATTTTCTTCAGCTACTTTCCAATTCGCGGAATAATTGCAATTCTCTTTCGCTTTCTCGCTGACAGATGACAGGATAAACTGGGTCGAAGTAGTATAAGTAGCTTTGCGTGAAGACTACTTGCTACTACATCTTCTCGACAAATATAACTGGTCGCAAACATTGTCGCACGTGTAGTTCTTTTCAAGAGTAAAACGGATTATTTGTGAATATAGAACATTCGCTTGTCCATGTATTTACTTAAAAATGTTTGTAGATACCTTTATCAGCGAATACATGTTTTAGAGATGGTTTATGACTTTTTTTTCTTTTTTTTTTTAGAAACGTCAGAAAAGTGCACTCTCTCTTGTGTAGAAAGATTACGAAAACAAATTCGTTACGTTGTCGTCGCACGACGTGCACTTGCGAGAGTTTCCGGTTGAAAGCTCAGGCACGAAGGAAATAGGGGTGGTCGGGTGTTTGATCGTTGCTTCTCTGTGTCGCAACCTTTTGAATGGTAGGTATGAATCGGGGGATACTTCAGATAGATTACTCTGTATATGCGGTTGAACGATGGTGGGAGAAGAAGCGGCGACTCGCAGTCTATCGCGCAGCCCCGTTCGACCTATATCGCCCTGCATCCCGAGTCTCGCTTATTTATAGATAGATACGCCAGTAGTGTGGCCGAGAGCACTTAACTGCGCCATCATTTTATTACGTCGATAGCTTTTAACGAACAAATTTTTCTTATGGAGTTAATCGCGAATTAAAAAAAAAAGGTGGAAGGAAAGTTAAGTACGAGTCGAGAGAATGCGATTCCATATGGCCCGTGTCGCGTATTTCTGCAGCGATCCATCGAATAATCTGCAGAATTCGTGGATCAATTTATCTTCCGCGAATCTACACCCTATCTGTATTCTGTACTCACGAAAGCCACTATTCGATCACGCACATTCGATCGACCGAAAACACTCGAGCATATCGTATATTTTCGTCGAAGACGAATCTGAATTGCTACATTTCGGAATTCTCTTCGATTATTAAATATATTATCAGACGTGTATTGTGTATCTCTTATTGTTAGTATGTGTCAATGTACTTCTGTCGATCGATTTCACCGCGGATCGGTCCTTTAGAATTCGCGGTACGATTAACGCTTGGAAAAATACTATTGGATTATTGAAAAAACTATATTGAAACAAATAGCTAGCATTCGATATTGGATTTGAATAGTTCTCTAATTATTTCCAATCATTTTTCACGAATCTAACAGTATTTTTCCATTTTTTTAAGGAAGTTCCAATTCAAATCGTGCAGGAATACGACGTAGTCTCTCAGCATGAGACTGAACTGTCATTAAAAATGTACGTAATCTGACGTATTTTTACGTACAATATATCTGACATATCTTTTCGAGCCGCACCTGTTGGCATGAGACGATGGTATACATGGAAGTTGAAATATTCTACTTCTATCGTTCATATAAGTATGCTAAATAAAATATTTGTAATGTATTGATCGCTTATTTGTCACTGAAGAGGTGTACGTTCTAGCGAACGTCTTTACGTACAATGTCCTCAGAATGTCGATATTCGTAAAATTTATCGCGCTGCTATTGTTAAATGATGCGTACCGTATAATTGACGGCTGTAGATACAATGAATATTTCGAGCTGTTCGGGAACAACTTGGCACGCCAATTCGATTGCTCGCCAACCGATCAATTTTATACAGAACAGAGGAATGCTTGTTCACGTAGATTATCGAACACCTTCTGGTTGGCCGCAAACCACGAAGGAAATTGACTGAATACTCCCTATGTCATACTTGAACGTATAAACCGCGTGGACTGCGGGATGACATTTACGCACTCAGCGCGCTATTTCTATAGCGAGCCGTTCATTCAGAAGACTTTATGCCTGGCGTAAAATTACTGCATCTGAGGGAAGCACTTAAACGGCTAAGTTAGCCGCCTTACGACAACATGAATACCTTTCTGCGATTACGAAGCAGAGATAAGTAAATAAACGGGAAAAAGAATTCTGCTTTATTCTAAATTATGTTCTAAATTATGTATACTCTGAAAGTTTTGTTCTTCATATTTGTCACTTTATATATATATATATATATATATATATATATATATATATATATATTCTATACATTTATGCGGAAGAAAGATCGTACCGCAATAGCTTCTCTGGGGCTTAGACAGGATTACCATTCTTAGGAAATTCTAAATTCTCGGCGATTGTGGTTAAAGTGATTATGCCTATTTATAGTAAATGCTTTTTTTCTGAAGCCCTACGGAAGACCTACACACGAAGACGCTTAAGAATGATCGACAGTCAACAAAGCAAGAGAATCTGGACTCTTTACGTTGACACGTTCCCAAAGTGTCCCTTACATCTATTCCCTTACGTTTTCCACGTTCAATCGATACCACGAGATTTTCGGAGCGGTGCTTACCCCTGAACGGAGAGTGAGTCAGGAATCCCGTCAAGACTTTCCCTGCTGATGTCGTCGGCCATTGCGACCTTGAGTTGGTGCCCGAAGCTCGCCAAATCCTCCCTGAAGGCTTCACTTCCGGGCGTCAATGCACCGCTAGTGGGCGGCAAGGGCGTACCGTCACCTTCCCCCTCCTCCCCTTCCTCACCCTCTTCGCCACCTACGAGGACCTCCTCGTCTTCGTTGTAGATCTTGAAGTAGGCGATGGTGAGGTATATCACCGAGATTATGAAAGACGGTATCGGAATCGCCATCGCGTACACAAGATTCATGTACACCTGAGGAAGGGTTTCAAACGTGTGACCAGATAGCTCGGCGGAAATCAATACGCATCCAGAGTTCTTTTACCCAAACGTCAACATTGTTTCGTGTGAGAAATCCCGCGAACGAATTTCGAACTGGAAGATTAATTTCATTATTACGAATATCTTATAATTAATTATTCGACTTATTAATTACAAAGTACATAAAAGAAACTAATTGACTGAAGTAAGATTTGAACTGAATTGAAGGAAGAATTTAATTGAATTATATAAGAAAAATTATATGGATGAGTATTGTCTAGTTAATAACGTCTAGCTAACAAATTGTCTAGCTAACAAATGATAGGAAGAATATTATAGTGAAAATGTAATATAAATGTAACTCGCGACAAGTGGTAGCAGTTGAATATATCTATGGAGCCATCTATGGTGAGACTTCTATAAATTTGGCGAAAAAGTGCTCCTGAGAAAGAAAGAGAAAGAGAGTGTGTTATTCGCGCCACGTGATCCTATTTCTTCCTGTCGTCCATTCGTTCGAAGGATTGGCACTCGTGCAGCATCGAGAGCACGGCGGCGAGCTTTTCCGGGATCGCCGATGTTATCGGCGGTTTATAATAGCACGCCGGCCGCACACTTGTGGAAATTGGATTTCTGCGCGCCGGGAGAAATTTTCTTTTCTTCCGGGCGGCGCGTCGCGCGCCGCGATGGCTTCCGTCTTTGTCATCGGCCGCCCATTCAACCGCTTGAAATGCATTGTCCGTACCTCGTGCAGACGGTCGCATTTCCGTCACCGTTAACGCTACTTCGCCGTGCCTCGCGCGCGCTCGGAAAATCTCTCTTCCGTTTTGTTATCGCTTGCTATCTTCTTTACGTCTTTTGCATGTAATTCCAACATGAATTAAATTTTCGATGTAGATTTCGATGTACGGAAGAATCTATTTTACGCCGATTGCCACGAGTAAATACGGGGATTATTTTCACGCTCGTCTATACAGCTCGACGAAAATTGTATCGCTCTCAAACACGTAGTTGAGATTATGAGAAATCAATAAAGAGATGAAATTCGAACGGGAATAAACGTGAGACTTATTTGCAGTATAGAGTTGCGATCAAAGTGACAGTCGGGAGACTAACTCTCGGGAGAGTAACTCCGTGTTTCAATTAGAGCCGATTCCGCACGAATTCATTATCGTGATCCATTTAATCATTTCATACGAAACAGTTTCGGCCGTATATTACGCTCTGCTCCCGATAGGCAGCCGCAGTATTGATTCTCAAGTGCGCGGCTCGTCCCGGCGTAAACTCGGGCAAAAGTCACACAGCACTTTCGCGTGACTCGCACATACCGATATACGGGGCGAATCGCTAACTATAACCCGGTCACCGGGTTATAACGCGCGGGCTAAAGCCACATTAGTCCAACGGATGCCATCGCGTTGCAAAGGAATCTGTACATCCCGGGTTTAGGATTGAAAATAGAGATAGGCCAGTATTCATAGTTCGTACTTATCTTAAGATAGCTTTAATAATGTCTTAAGATACTAATACCGATGTGACTGACTTATGACATCTTAAGACTCAAGACGCTGTTATATTTGAGAATTTATTATGAATACCGGCTATAAGCGCGATTAAGAAAAATCCGCGTTTCCACGCGTGAAAAGTGTATACAATAACGTCAGAGACCTGCCACATGTCGAGGTCGCTGATGACTATCCCGGGATCCACTTTCGAGTAGTAACAGCTAAAGTTCTGCCCTATGATGGCGTACTGCTGGTAGAAAATACTGCAATTCAGCATTGGAGGGTATCCACAGCCTTTTACGTTGGGGAACAGCTTGGCCCCGGTGAAGTACCACACGGAGTCGTTGCCCATGAGACCTGCGAACTTCCCCTCGTTATTGTTCGGCGACAGGGACGCTTTTCCAGCGAGAGACCCGGAAGAATAAACCGGACGGAGACAGAGAAAAGCGTATAACGACTTCTGTATATAGCAGTTTCTCATTCAGCGCTGAAGCTTTACTGATGAATCGCTGAAGCTTTACCGGAGAAAACTTATCTCTCTCCCACAATAGTTTTAGTTTTCTATCTATTGGCTTTGTTAAATCCGCACCTGTCTCTCAACAATTTTTGCACGTAGAATCAATCGGAATAATTCACATAATGGTCATAAAATCATAAAATGTACAAAACGACGAGATATTTATTTGATAAATATAAATGTAATTACGAAAAGTTAACGGTTGTTAAATATTTTGAAATATCGCAATATTACTTTTACTTCAACTCCTATTATTTCTGTTGATCCTTTTATTGGATAACAGAATATTTATAATTTCAATTATGGTATTTGCAATGTCGAATTACAAACGTCTCTGATGCACATGTAAAATATCAATTGCACGAATAAATAACAAGCCTCTCCTTTCAATTTTATAATCATGCTCTTTCAAAAACAAATATGGATAGAACAGATTCAGATGAGGTGGGACCGAAAATGTAATATCTCGAATCCTCAGTGATATCACTTTGTACCTGTAGGGAAAGGTTTCGGCAGTCCATTCTCGTCATCCATGGCCAAATCCTCGATGTATTCGCCTAAGGAACGCTCGTAACGAGGCATCCGCTTGTCTTCTTCGTCATCCTCGACACCTCCTACCGCTCCGCCTCCCCCGTCCGATCCTTCGGACGAGTTATCCGGTAGCTTATAGTTGACGCGTATTTGCTTGCAATCGTACAGTTCCTTAGTGCAACCCTCTCTACAGGATGTCCATGAGCAATTGCTCGTACCTGGACTCAACGATCATTTATGGAAATTCTCGCGACCGCGGAATAATAATCCAAGCACAAAACGCACAGAACATTCGCACGTGAAAAAAAAAACTGGATAATGAGGGACATACCGAATACACACATACAGCTAATCGTACATACATACACCAGATTGTAAGAACGAATGGAAGCGTGAGACAACAGATTAAAACATTGATGATTACGTGAGGACAGCGCGGGAATATAATTCCTTATGAAAATTTATACGAGACCGAAGCTTAAAGCTCGCAACTGTCAACAAGCACTATACATAATTCATTGAAGAATTTATGAATCATTTATCGTTAATTTATTCGAGTTTCTGAAAAAAAAAATCATCAACATGACGTTCAAATGAAAAAAATAGTATTACTCGCCAAAATATATTTTAAATTTACAATCAACAACGCGATGCGAATAGACACACAATGCGAGAGGCTAAACCACCGTGTGAAACAAATATAGGAAACGTGCATGCACCAGAGGCGAAGACAGAGATTGAACCGTCAGAAAGTGTTTTGCATCATGACGTAAGTTGCAGGGGTGTTGACACGAGGCCGGTGCTCAATCGTGAAGAACACCTGCACCCTATTGACGTCCGCGAAGTGAAGAAAATTCAAGTGACGAAGGAGAAACGAGGAGACTCGGATGAGCCGCGGGGGTACCAAGAGCACAAAGACACCAGTTGCGTCGATCTTATCACGACTCGCCGCGGCCTCTCTCCTCCTGACTAACGATCGATCTCGATCGGTTCTTTCAATCTTTCTTACATCTTTATATCTTTCATTCGATATATAAGATCGATCCCGCAAACATTATTTAACAATAACAAAGTTTCGCTGATTCTCTTTCTCGTTCTATTTTTAAAAGCAAACGAAGAAAACTCAAAATAGCTATTAATATTTGCGATACATTCGCTTATGATTTGAAAAAAATCTTCTGAATCATGCAGAGAAACGTTACTCTGTTTTTCGAATGTATATTAAATGTATGTAATTTTATGTATCGCGGTATTCGGTTAATAGCAAATTAAAATTTATAGGATAGTATTAAACTTTTATGTTATACGTATTCACGTATGTGTGATGGACGACCCCGTATGAAAGGCAGATGCATGCCACTGGGGAATACAAAATTCATAAACTTTTTTTTTCGTTACAATCTCCGTGGAATTTATCGTGATCCAGAGCGAGTTAGAAAAGCATTTCCCAGGCGGCATAAAGGAAGACGCGAAGCAATTGCGACGGAACAACGTTCTTCAACATTTGCCGTTACAATCAAAGTGCGATTACTTTCCCAATTGTTAGCCACGTGTTGATCTTCCGATAACTTTCCTAATAAGAGGTAGATTGCTATTTTATGCCAGCTAAATAAATTACGATTACGATAAATATTGAATTAAACGCGGAAACTGTCAGCTGTCCTCCACTGACGTTCTTCGTCACTTTTGTTCGGTCTGGAAATAGCCTTTCCAATCATTCATGAAACTCGCATATTTTGATGCTGACCCAATTCTGTAAATGGGAATTTACGTCAGTTCCTGATGTTCGTCTATCATCGTCTGTCACTTTCGGTCAACGTGAAATATTTCTAGAATATAACAATATATGACTTCTATTTTTTATTAAGTGTCTCGTTTTTTTTCCGGTATCGTAAACGTATTTTTGTTTTAAATCTTTTACGAGATGTCTCTTTTGTAATGAGATTAAACGCGATTCCTTCTGAAACTTTAAAAAGACGTCTTTTTCACATCATGAAACATACATACAAGCGCAAAATGAAAATGTACGTTCATACCAACAAACATACATGCTTGGACATAGAAAACAGAGAAACACGAAGGGGCTTAATTGCGCGCGAGGGAAGAATCTCATCAGAAGAACGAAGAATATTCAGAGAGAATTCACAGTACACAGGCATGCAACGAGAGGAGCGACAACGAGAGCGAACAGGTGAGATAAGGATGCCGATTGTTCACCTCTTCTGGACTCAACGTCGATGGTGACACACTCGGCGGGCCGAGTGTCGAACTGCATGAAGATGGTGGTGAAGGCGGGGTCGATAACGAAGGGGACCAAGAAGAGGAAGGCGAAGAGGCTGAAGGTGCTGAGGAGGATGAAGAACGCGGTCGTGTAGAACAGCAGTTTCTGCAAGATCGTCTGCTTCTCCTTTTCGTCCGCCATCTCGGAGAACAAACGGCAGTGC